CGGGTCATGGCTGTTCCTGGGCCCAGGCTCTGAGCAGCTGGGGTTGTGGCATTGCAGTCACCTGTGTGAAATATGGAGCTTGGTGAAATGATGGTGCAGCCCAAGGCTGAAGAGGTACAGTGGCTATCCTCCTTCCCCCGTTATTCCAGTAGTAACTCTCATTTCAAGATGGTACCATGCTGCAACAACTTGGGTCACAGGGTGGGGGTTTGGAGAGGACACAATTTGTGCTCCTAATCTGAAGAAATACAGCCATGTGAATTCCAGGCAGCTCTCCAAACTGGACTCAGGGCTTGTGAGGATTATGGTATTTTCTTAGTAAGGACTTTAGGTGTCCATGGTAGCAATGGGGGCTTGTGAGAGTCTTCTGATTACCTTTTCTTTTTTCTCATTTTAATTAAGAAAAAAAAAAAAAACCTTTAAAAACAAATCTATTCAAAAAGCATTCAAAAATAAGCCCTTAGTTTTCTTACCTAATTGTAATATTGTATTTTAGCATCCCTACTTCTGTGACTTTATTTTTGTTTTCAGCAGTTACCTACAAAATCAAGTTGGGAGGAAATATTTGTCCTATCTCTGAGTAAAAATGGATAAAACACTAAAGTTGTAATAATGAAAGGCAAGATTAGCCCCTTCAACTTGAGTTACAAATAAATAAAACACTGACTCTCTAGAAATTATTGGTAAAACACTTGTTCGTTGAAATATCTTCTTTAATGACTTAAAGGCAAAAAAAGCAACTGAATGAACTATCTATTACAGAGAACTTGTTCCACTTAATCCAGTTTAGAGTGAATGACCCTAATTGTCTCTTCAAATGTGAGTAGGATACACAGACCAGACAGTGGCTCCCAGTTGGAAATGGGCAAATTTCCAATGATGGAATTATGTTAGTTAAGGAAGACTCCATGGTGAGAAAACTTTGAGCTGTTCTCCAAGGAGGACATGTTCCAACAAAGAAGTAGCATGGGAAAGCATTCTGGGTAGAAGCCAATGGCAAGTGTGAAAGTTGAAGGTGAGAACACAAAGGGCATGATATGAAGTAGGAATTACTTTTACATGATTGCAACAGCATGGATGAGTGGAAAATCCATAATTTAATTATCAAAAACTTTGTGAACCTTAATTAGCCATTTAATTTTGAGCCAAGAATTTCTGAGTAGAGTTATGTAGTGATGCTGCTAGAATGAGGAAGGATTAGGTGGTCTCTGGTTCTCACTCTCCTACTAGCCTATTGCGTTCTTTGGTCTTCCAGTTTTGTCATCCATAAAAAATGGGGTTAATTGTAAAAGTTCCTTTCAGTTTAAAAAAACCCCATGCAAATCAATGATGAATAAATAGTAAGAAGTTTTCCAAAACCTGAGATATAAAAAATATACCTTTTCTTCTAGATAAAATTAAATCTGGTTAATTTATTTACTCCACAGATAGTTATTGACTGACTGCTAGATACTAGATGTACTCAATTCTGAACATATTTTTGGAAAAGAAGACGAAAAAGTTCTTGCCCTCCTAAAACTTATTCTAGCTCTCGTTTCCCCAGAACAAAGTCCAGTATCACTCATTTTTAACAAGTCCTGCTCTATCTCTTGGATTATTTCAGAACTTTGAGATTAACAGAGTACAGGAAAAATGAGAGTGACCCTTGTCTATATCCATGGCCACTGTCACAATTGCCATTGCTCTTTATTTGGTCCCATAAGATAGCTTTAAAATGTCTGGCCTTGCAGGTAGCATTTCTCTTCAAGTATCAAGTTTTACTCTAGGAACCTTTGTTAAGATGCTATTTGCCTCATTTCCACAGGAATTCATGTAGCTGTCAATGCCTTATGTCCTGTTCCTTTTACCATGTTGTGAACAAGGAAGCTAGTGCCTGGTACTCCACAAAAGTTCACATTCACCCATCTCCCCAGTCTCTGGGGATCAACCTACCACAAGGCTCTGAATTACTACCTTTGTCAATTCTCAAGGTCACACCATCCATCACATCCCATCTTGGGCAATGTGGTCATTATCTTCTTCAAGCCTAAGGCTGCAAACCAAGGATTGAATTCCATTCTCAAATGGCTTTGTTCTCCAATTTACTGCAGTCTCCACCACTCCTTTTTGACTGTCAGCAATCAAACTGAGCATATGTAACCATTATGCTCTCCCTGCTGCTTTTCTTACATTTGTGGTTAATAGCACAACCTGTAGAGCAAGACTATCCAGGTTTGTCTTTGAGCTCTACCACTTACTAGCTGTGTGGCTTGGTGAAGTTATGAAATCTTTCTATATTTTGGATCCCTCAGGTATAAAATACAAATAATATATAATAAGGATGTTAGTAAGAGTAACTGAGTTAGTATATGTGTGACACTTAGCGCTATACCTTGTGTACAGTAAGTGCTTTGTAGTTAATATTGTTGTAGGGATAATATTATTACTTCATATTATTATTGTTTTATTATTACTGACTTGGTTTTTTCAGGCATTTCAGTGGGATCAAATGGACTGTATATTTCAACATAAAGGTATTAGTGGAAGTTTTCCTCAAAGCAGTTCTACCTCCACACATACCCTAGCAACATTTTTGGCTCTCAACAACAAAAAATGTTTCACTATTTTCTTAGCAACAAACAGAAACATCTAATTTTTTTTTTTTTTTGTGGATAGAGTGGAAAATTATCTTTCATTCCTTTGATATGAGACTGGCAATTTTTTGTCACTCTATCAAATTTTAACAGGTCAAAGAAATTTTCCCCAATTTCTCACTCTAAAGTCTGTACAGATTTCCTCATTCTGCTCCTTACTTAATGCATCACCAAGAAGATGTCTCTACTACATTGAGAAATTGGCAAAATTTTTTCCCATCTGCTTCCTAGAACTAAATTGTGACTTTTCATTTCATATCACTTATAACTGAAGGTAATCTGAGTTGCTTCTTAAAGTCTCAGGCTTAACCTGTTAGCTGCTTGTCAGTCTTCCATTTTGTGTGGAAGGTCAGAAATATTTTTCACATGGCAAATAAAATATGGATTTTCCATTATATTGAGCAATTTCAAGTTTCTAGCTTTTGAATTGGTGGTGTCTTGAGATTCTTTGCATCTGCTTTGTTTCGATATGTGACATTTACATTGATTTGAAAGTCAAAATTCTAATGGAGAAGATTTTATTTTAATGTACGCACTGGCATGTTTCACAGGTTCATAAGCTCTTTCTCTTATGTGCGGAGAATGAAAATAAATGATCCTTTGACAGCCTGTCAGCCAGAGTTTTATTACCTATGTCTGACTATGTCCCTTGGGTAGAAATGGCAGCTGGGGTTTTTATTTATTGTTAGGGCATTTTGTACACATTTATAAGGAACTGTGGTTCGGGTCTGAAAATAGAGTTTATGTTGAGACCAGGAGACCTAACTTCAGACGTGCTTGAACCCTGTGATAAAATGGGCAGATCCTAATCTTGTTTCTTGTCGCATTATCTCTTAGGTAAATAAATCCCTGCCACTATCTCTAAACTCTTCCATGCGTGCTGGTCCTGCAGCTTGATTTAGAAATGTGGAAACTGGAGCGAGAAAATCAAAGAGTTCAGAAAAAGAGGACCATTTTTCATATGTTTCAGAATGATAACTTCAGCGAGATATGTCAGAGGACACATTTGTAATGGTGATGGTTGTAGTTGTTAAGTAGCCAGGTCAGAGACTAAGAAGGATAAAAGAAAAAACAAATTAACTTTGTTTTAAGAATTGTTTTCAGTGCTTTCCATGATAGGTTCTTGGATACCTCCTCAATACAGCTCAAATTTATATCACTATAACATCTGTAAAATATAGAAATGACAACTGCAATTTCACACTAAAATCATTAAAATTTCCATTGGCGGGAAATGATACGTTTTCAGCTTTTAGTTGAAAATAGAGATCGAGGGTGTTCAAAGGCTTAGTGGTTCTTCCACTTAGATTATTTGTAAGTGTACCCACCCCTTTATAAGAATCAAGAAAACTTCAACTCTGGTTTTAGCATCAAGTATTTCATTAAGTCTACGGATTTTGCCCTAGTTTTTCCTACAATGTGATGTATGTACAGTAATATGGGTAGTGGGCAAGGAATCATTTTGTATTAACTAGCTGTTGGATCCCATATACGTTTATGTAAGTTTTCGGAGCCTCAGATTTTCTATGGTATTTTAAACTTTTATTTGAATCATTCATTAAGCAGTGTCTTGAACACAGAAGTGGTTAATTGAATCAATGAGTTTAATTTAATTTAATTTAATTTACAGTGATTGGAGGATGATTTTTTTTTCTTTAATCATTAGTGTCTCAGATTCCTAGCCACGAGAGACTCCTGAAAACTCTATTTCAATTAGATTCGGTGAATTACAAGGGAGAAAGGAATCATCAAAAGTGGTGACATAAGCATCTCCTTTTTCTCACCTGACCTGCAAAGATTCTCCTGAGATTGAATCTGTGGCCCTCAATAGATTCCTTGAGGTGTCCTGTGTCAGCACTTGTGCACGAGGGGACTTGTCATCAGTGATAATGACAGTGGAGGCACATACTATCTCTTCCTTATAAGCAGTTCCCTCTTCTAATTGAGAAACATTTGTATGCATGTTGGTTTCTTTTAGCAAAAAAAAAAAAATAATTAAAAAAAAAACCAGACCACATATTTTTCTGCACACCGTACACACGAGGGTAGAAATTGGAGTGCTTTAGGGGTGGGTACACACACAGTGCTTTGGGGGTGGGTACCACGTCTCAACTGTGATTATTACTTGGGCTGAAGTATGTTAAGGACACAGGATGTTCTTGAGCACGGGCGTGTGGGGGCTGCGGTATTCAAACTGGGATAAAGCAACAACCTGCTGCTAATGTATTATTTCAAAAGAAATACTTCACAACGCACCAGCAGAAATATAAAACCCAACTTCATAATGAGAGAATAGAGCTTGGGCTTTTTTTTTTTTTTTCATTCTCTTTATGATTTTATTCAGAGAAGGATTATCCTTTGTTTCAGACGGGAGTGAGTCGGCACTTGTGCAGCTCCACGGCGGAGGGGCTGAGACGCAGAGAGAGCTGGGAGGGAGAGGAGATGGGAGCTGGCATGTGGTGTCGTTGAACAGATTTAAAGGTATTTTAAACATAGGCCGTTAGTGCTATTTTAGAACACGTGTGTATCTCCACCCTTGTGTTCCAGCTGCTGAGAATAAGCAAATTGCTGTCAGAAAGACAAATACAGTGTATTTATGGACCCTGAATTCTTGATCCCAAGTACTGTGAGCCAAGCACATTCCCCAAAACATGTGCCTAGAAAAGTGCACCTATTATTAGAGAGCTCCATCTCTGGGAAATGACAGTAGTCGGGGAAACCTTCCCTCTTCAAACGAATTTAGCATCAGAAGCCCATGACAGGTAGTGACCTGCAGAGGGTTCAGCTCCTACATTTGCCACTTCCTTTCTTCTCCTGAACTATGCATTTTTATTCATTCCATCCTTACATCTATTCTACCCTGTAATTTGTGCAAAAGAAAAGTATCAGACGTGCCTGCATAACCATCTCTATTGACATTTTGTAGAACAGAACAGATTGGACCTATTTTCTTTCTGCAATCAGTTTCAAGTGTTTGAACCTTCCTAGCAGCTGGGAGACAATATTTATTCTTAATCAGCGACTGATTTCATGAGTCTGATGCCGTGTAGTGTATGTGGCTGTGTATTAAAACATGCAGAGCTGCCTGAGTGATGAGGCAGAATTTCAACAGGAGGGGATCGAGTGTGCTGTGAGAGGGATGCTTTGGGATTGTGCAATGGGTCAGACTGTATTCTAGAAACATAATGACATGGTTATCAGGGCAGTTCAGGAGGAGGGCAAAGATTTCCATTTCCAGGAAGATCAGTTGAACTCACAGGCAGGAGGAATATTATTAATAGCAGAGTTTTATCTAGTGGTGGTGGGGGCAGAGTTAACGTAGCAGAAGAATTAGAGACTGGTGATTAGGGTGTGATCATCTGTGGGAGAATTTCACAGGGTATCAGGTACATTTCAATGACTTTTGCTTGTTTTTATATTATTATTAAGAAGCCACAGGGAAAAGCTTGAATGATGAGCTTTTAGAGTATGTGTGTAACAAGAACCTTATTAAAAATTCAGATTCCTGTTTGCACACCCCAGAATTTCTGGTTCAGAAAGTCTAAACCAGAGCTAAGGAACTAAGCTCAGAAAAGCCAATTTTTGAACATGTATTTAGACTATGGAGCTAAGGAATTTGCATTTTAAGTAATTCCACAGGTAATTCTGATGCATGCAATTTAAGAAAAATTGTTTAATATTTCAAAAGGAGGATGAATAATTAAGTATTCCTATTGTCCATGATTAGAACTCATCACTAATCCAGAAATATCAAGAATAGAAAATAAGAAACAAGAAACAAAAAACAAAAAACAAAACAACAAAAAAAAAGAATAGAAAATAGGGAGCAAAAACGACTCTAAAATATTTTTGTGTAATTTGACTATAGGGGATGGTGAAGTTAATTAGAATTTTTAGTCTCTAATATGTGTGAAATGGTTGAAACAAAATAAATTTTGTTTAATCTTTATTACAGCTCGGTAACTCAATTAACATTACACCATTTTACAGGTGGTAAAACAGACTCAGACATGTTAAGTAACTTGTCCAAAATTACATACTTAGTAATTATTAGGGCCCTTTGGGCTTTTCACTCTCCCTATGTTGCTTAGGGAAGTTTATGCACCATGGCTTTAATCACAATGTCTACACCAACACATCTCAAATCTGTATCCGCAGCCTGCATCTTTCTTGTGTGTTCTCTAATCATTGATCTGATGACCTGTTTCACATCTTTGCTTAGATGTTTCTCAACAACCTCAAGTTCTACATATTCTTAGTTGTACCTCTCATCTTCTCCCCCATATAGTTTTCTCCTCTGCTATCCCTGAGCTCAGCAAGTAGTCCTACCATTTGCTGATTGGCCCAAGCCGAAAATCATGGTTCTTTTGATCGAAATACCTGATTCTATATCTTTCTGTCAGTCCTCACTTGATAACCTGCTGGTTCGGGGCAGCATCATCTCTTACCAGGCATATCAGGTAGTGTTTGCTGAATAACAAAATGTCCCCATAACCTGGTGGCTTAAAATAGAAATCATTTTACTTAACTCTAATTCTGTGGGTTGCCTGGTCAGTTCTTTAGGTCTGGACCACCTTGGTTAATCTCTGCTGGACTGTTTCTTGTGTCTGTGATTTGTGAGTGACTTGGATGGTGGCTTAATGATCTACCGTGGCCTAACTCGTATCTATCTAGTGGTGGGTAGACTGTCAGCTGAGGGCTGGATGACATATGGCTAGGGTGGCCTCTCATCCTTCAGCAGGCTAGCTTGACCCATCCACATGGTGGTCTCAGGATTTCAAGTGCAGTAAGAGAGAACAGGTCTTAATGTTCAACTACTTTTCAAGCCTTTGCATTGCATTTGTTAATCTTAGCCAGAGCCACTGAATCTCTGTGGCAAGGTGCTTACCAAAGGCTGTGGATAGAGGGAAAGGAATGTTTTATGGCTGTTTTGCAGTCTATTACGCTAGGACTCTCCAAGAACTTAATATTGGTATCCTTACCACCATTTTTACTACCCCTGATCCATTTCACACAGCAGTCAATGAATGGCCTATCATATCACCACCCTGATTAAAACATCACTGGCATATCTTTGGAGGATAAAGCCCTAACTCTTTAACACAGCTAATAAGGTACTCCAAGATTTGTATTCTGTCTACCTCTTTGGGCTTTGACTCTCTCAAAATAGTTAAGAAATATTCTTAATTCTCTTGGTTACTCAAATAGCCAGTTTTATTCCCCTTTAGGCAGAGGGAGCATGCCACGGCAAGCTTCTACTGGTCTCTTTATCTCTTTCTATTTGAAAAACTCTTCCTCATTTTTCCATCTTCGTTACCCTCCTTTGCCTAACTCACTTATTTATCCATCAGTGCCAGCCTAAATATCCCTTCCTCAGGCTTCCCTTGACTTCTTTGAAATGTAGGCATTTGTACTTTACTGTAATCATGTGTTCAAAATCTGGCTTTCCTGTGACCGAAAGCTCTGTGAGGTCAAAGACCTTACATGTATATTTCACCTATACTGAATCTCTGACATATAATACAGTGCCTAATAGTACATAATAGGTGCTTAATAAATACCAGTTAAAAGAACAAGCACCCCTGGCTTGTCTGATTTTTAAACTTTTCTTGCTATGGCACACTTACTTCAATTTAGATTCAATTTTCCATTGCTTCTTGTTCAGAGGTTAAGTGTAAATGACATTTTATGTTAATACATTTTTCCTGCATCCTGACCTCCTTAGGAAAATAAAATAAGCAGGTGATTTAGGGAGAAAAGGTTTGGACTATGCCAAATGACACTTAGGCAATTTTTCAGGGGTCTGAGAGAAGTCCTACCCACATTGCTTTAGCTGTGGCCTGTTGTCACACGGAAATTTCCCGGTGGGCTATGATGAAAAAGACTGACCAAGGTTTACTCTGCGGAAGCAGTTATATTTTGGAGACCATTCTAAAGTTAATGGAAAACCTACTGAGGAAATACAGTTTCAAGTTCTGTCTTATTTGCCTTGTACAATCTCTGAAGTATAGCCTGTGTCCTGCACTTTTGAGTCACACGAAGCTTTCACAGCAAAGCTTATAGTAGCTCTGATAACTTTGTTACTAAAAGGAAAAACTGAAAAACAATTTACAAAAGCTGTCTCTGGACAATATATGTCCAATCATATTGTTCTTCTCAAATCAAAATTTTCTTTATTGCCCTTGAAGACTAAGTAATGCATTATTTGGATAACTCTAATTAATTAGAAACATACAGAGTTGTTTACACCCCTCTTCCCACACCTTTACCTTCCTAAATTTCTTGGTTTTCTCATCTATGAAATGGAAGTGTTCATAAGACTTCATATGTGTAAACAACGTAATCTTATACTTCATAAAATTACTATAGAGCTAAGATGAGCTAATACATTTGAAATAACTTTGTGTACTATAACATGATATTCATTCATCAAACATTTGTTAAGTATATATTCACCAGACCTTGGGCTAGGCTCAAGAGAGGATGTAAAAATGAGTCCTTGCCCTGTGATTGAGCTTACCACCAAGGGAAATGACAGATGAGGGTAAAGTCATAATATAAGATAAACAAAACTGCAGTACCACAGATGGTGTAGCAATTAATTCCGTCTAGAGGATTCACAGAAGAGAAGATGTTTAATGCGGGCCTGGAAGGACAGGTAAGATTTTACTAGAGAGAGAAGGCATGAAGGGCATTCCAGTCAGATATCCACTTATAATCAGCAACAGGAAACTCACTCCATTTTTAAAACAATGATAAATGATAGAAAGATACCTAGAGGCATATAAAGGGAATACAATTATTTCTTTTCTTTCTGTTTTTTTTTTTTTTTTTTTGGATTGAGAGAAGACAAGCTAAATTCATAAAACAAAGAAGCATCAAAGACAACTGAACCAGGGCAAGAAGTGGTGAAAGTTCAGCTGGGGAAACAATCTGCTACTTCATGCATACCTTAAGAAATGAATGAAAGCTTTGAAACCTCAGTGAAACCCTCACAAATGAGAGTAGGATGCTCATCTTTTAACAATCAGGCAAGTGAATATATCAATTTAGAAATTACAAAACAAATGGAAGGAGACTACCAGTGTGTTTGTCAAGGATGCGTTCAAATGCCTTTTACAGAACAACTTCAACAATAGTTTATGGATTAAGTAGAAAAATGGGACAATAAGCTGAGTTCTGATTAGACTTGTTATCAAGACTTTGTGTCATAGATGTAGAGGCCCATTACTGCTTTATATACCCTCAACACTTTTGCTGGGGACTACTGAGATGGATGAATATTCTGGCTTCATTTTAAAGATAGATATCTGTACAAGATAAATTCAAGAAAAAACAGCAAAGCACTTTAAAGGCAAAGAATTCAAACTTTCAGGGGAAACATACACACAGACTCATTTCCCACATTCAGAAATATTTCATCAGACATATAATCTAAGTTACTGTGCAGAAGGATACCATTGAAAGTGACAGGAGGCGCTATTAATATTTATAATTTTCACCAGGTGCAAATCTGGTCTGTCCCAGGTGAAATCAGATGTATGGTGACCCTAGTCATAGGAAGCACATGGTTAGATTTTGTTGAATAGGACAAAACAAATGCTCTTTGTTCCCCCCTAAGGAACTCCTGGAAACATCAGAAATTTTGGTTTAGGCAGAATTTATCTAAGTAGGGATGGGGTCTGGTAGGAGATATAATAACTTCTCTTTGGGGAGCATTGAATTCTTTCAAGCTAAATTCATAAAACAGAGATGCATCAAAGACAACTGAACCAAGACAAGGAGTGACCTTGGGCAAGATGCTTAATCTCTCTGTGCCTCAGTTTCCTCATCTGTAAAATGGGGGTAATAATTGGTTATTGTGAGAACTAAATGAGTTAATATATAGAAATTGCTTGCAGCAGGGTCTGGCTCACAGAATTATATAAATTTTTGTTATTTTTATAATTCCCATTTTATAGATTGCAAAAAAAATCCACCAAAAAAATCCTCCAAAGAAACAAATAAATTATATTCCAGGTTTACCTGATGTTTGCATTCACATTAGAATAGTCAAGAAGTGACCCAGGCATTACATCAAACTAGAAACTTGGGTCTCCTACAGAAAGAAGTATCTTCCAGAAATGAGTGGGGGGGGGGGGCCAGGGAGGTCCTACTAGGCCTTATTTTATTGGTTTGGCGTAAAGTCTCTGAGATGTCCAATGCTGATCAGACCTATACTGCAATTGCTACTCATATAGATGCATCTCCACGGCAAACGAGGTTATAAAGAACACTAAAGACAGTGAGAACAGCCACAGTGAGATCCATAGTTATAGGTTGCATTTAAGTCTTGCCTGCCAGGCAGTGCCCTCTGCATCACTGTAAATAATAATAATTAGAGTCAACATTCTTGAGCACTTACTGGGTGCCAGGCTTTGCCCTATGGGTTTCATGTTTCAAACTCATAGTTTGCCCTATGAGTTTCATTTAATCCTTACAACAAATATTTGAGGGAAGTACTATTATTATTACCATTATACAGATGAATATACTGAGGAGTAGAGAAGTTAAGGATTTGTTTACTGCTACATTTCACCAGTGCCGTACATACCAGTAACCTAGTATTTATTGAAACAAATTTGCTCATAGGTTTATTAGTATTTTCTGGCAGAACTCACTTACGTGGTTGATTTTTTTTAGTAAGAAGAATTTTTCAGAATCCATTAAGAGGAAAAGCATTTATAGCTCTCTTGTTACCCTTGCCTATATTTGTCCTTAGAATTTTTATTTCTGCAAGATCATGAGAATTAGTAATTACAAACATTTCAAATAATCTCTTCTGTACTTAGGTAAGGATAGAAATGTTAAATGGGATTTTAAATTCTGGAAATCAGTCTACCAAATGAATATAGACTGTTTTTAATAGATCATTTATATTTGGCTTTGGAAACCATTATTGTGCATATTTTTCCCTCCAAGGATTTGATTCCTAATTACGTTTACCTCGGGACAATATTGTAATCGTTTACATTTTCTGAGCACACACCAGCTGATGAGCGGAGGGAAGGGACATTACTGGGCAGTTCTGTAAATGCCAGGAGGTCAGTCTGGGGTTAAGGGTGTGCTCTGAATCCTCCACAGAGTGGAAAACCTAGGCAAGAACATCCTCTGGTGGACTGTATACCTGTGGTGAAACGTGTGAAGTATGGAGAGGAAACCAAGTAGCAGAAGAGGCATCAGGAAAGATGTGAACAGCAGAGAACACGGGGAAGTTAACGCATAGTACCCAGAGGGGCAATTGATTGGGGAGGCAAATGGAACATGATAGTAAATTTTTATTCTCATCATTGGGCTATTTTACAGTTGTACCTTAAATGATTGGCTAAAAAAGCAGACACCGCATTTTAGTGTTCTGGGTCAGTTATAGAAAACAATAACGAGGAGAAATAGTATTCCCATGGATATGGTAATATCAATGTGTGTTTATATGCTGTATTTAAAATTTAAAGGACCGGGCTCACAAAATGAATCATGGTTTGCTTAAATAGATTTTCTAGATGCCAGAGTGATAACGACCTATTCCTATTTCTCCCTCATTGTGCCTCAGTTTGATAACTGAAATCTGAGCAAGAGCATAATTTCATCAAACCTGCTTCTTTAATAAAAGACATTAACGGCAAGGATTCATTGGGTCAACAAACACTCACTGAGTGGTAACCATGAGCAGATAGTCTAAGAGGGGAGAGAAACACTAAAGGACCATAACACAGATCATCTTATGATTATTTTAAGTGCTGTGAAGAAAAATTATGTTGTTTCTGAGAACATTGTATACAGGGACCTGATGTGGACCGGCATGTGTTGGGAGAGGAAGAAGGGTCAAGGGAGGGTCCCTAGGTTACACTTAAGGAAATATGAAGGCTAGAGAGGAGTTGGCCAGGTGAAGCTGTGATGGGAAGAGTCAGGTGCACATGACTGATTTTACTCTATTTTTTGGAGCAACTGGTTTTGTACCCATGAAGTTAGGTACAAAAGAAACTTACTCCAATGACTATTTCTGGGGTGGCTGGGTGGAGGGAATGTAATGGAAACATGAAAATGTCACAAAATAACATTAAGGCACTGGGTTAATACAGTGTCTGTCATCTAAAACACTCTCTTCTACCCTGGCAAGCGGAGATGCGTGGTAGAATAATAGACCTATAAATAGATGTTTTGCCTATTTTTTGTCTTTGAAGGTGCCTGAAGACAAAGGGTCCATAATTTCAGAAGAGGTAGAAGATAGCAATAAGGAAATGTAGAGTGCTGTCCTCGCGGTAGTGCAGTTATTATGGGCTAATGTGGATCTCTCACTGGGTAGACAGGATAATGTGTAAAATGCCTTATAAGGATGTAGATATAAAAAACTCAGATGGCCAAGACAGAAAAAACCCATTCTCCATTCTAAGGAGAATTCAGTGCTGTTCTTGGAGCAAAGAGCTTTAAATCTACACGATTTTATACTATGTGTTGCTGATAATTTCAGGTATTTATTTTTATTTCAATATGGGAGAAAGGGACTCAGACAACCCTTTCTATGCTAGGATGCTGGATTCTGTAGATAGCCTCAGAATAAGTCTGACATCAAAAGTAAAAATGAGTTAAAACTCCATTTTTTTTTAAACCCCAAACTGTGTGGGAGGCAGCGCTGTGTCTGGCAGATCTGAGAGAAAAGCTTTCAGGACATTCCCAGCCCCCATGATCACATGGTGCAAATTCTCAGGGAGGGAATTCTGAGGCAGCCCAGCATGTGAAATCACATTTTCCTCAGAGCAGAAGAATTTATGTTCACATTTTCAAATCCCATTAATATTTAAAGAATTGCTCTTTAATTATGAAAATGGCTAAACATTTTCCTATAGTTTCCTTTCAGAAAACAGATTGCTTAAAGAATGAGTTAATACAATGATTAGAGTAATGAGAAGAAGGAACAGACTCGTTAAGCACTCATTTAGGAACGTGTGCGTATGCATTAGGTGTGAACCCCAGATAGAAATGTGCATTAAATTATACTGTTTCATGCAATTAGGTGGAATAAATGAACAAAACCCACAAGTATAGTTTTTCTGTCAATATCATGGCTATATTGAGAGTTCATTCTCAAGTACATATATATCCACTCGAAATCAAAGTAACTAAACATGATAGTTCCTCTGTCAATGCTTGATTGTTAACGTGTAACTTACATTTTAATGCTAAATTGATTTCCCAGGGTCAATCAAATCGCTGTATCAGGGAGCCCAAATTATTTGAGTTCTGCTATATGCCAGCTTGATGGTGAGGGAGATATAAAAAGTTTAATAATGGTAGTAATAATAGTTTATATTTATTGAGCTTTTTCTATGTGCCAGGCAATATTCTAAGTACTTTCCATGTTTTATCTCATTGATTGTTCAAAACAACCCTTTGAAACAGGTGTTATTTTTATCTCTAAGGGGAAATTACAAAAATTGGCTAAAGTCACACAGTTTATAATTGTGTTCAGGCTGACAATCTGACTTCTCTACAAATTTGTTACATGAGAAGGGAAAGCACATCTTATTGGTTCTTTTATTTTCAAGACACATTCAATTTGATTAATCCACTCATGTATTGATGTGCACTTGGGTAGTTTCCACATCTTTGCAAATGTTAATTGTGCTGCTATAAACTTTCAAGTGCAGATATCTCTTTTTAATAAAATGTATTTTTTTTTTCCTTTGAGTACACACCCAGTAGTGGGATTTCTGGATCAAATGGTAGCTCTACTTTTAGTACTTTAAGGTATCTCCATACTACCTTCAAAAGAGGTTTGCTAGTTTGCAGTCCCACCAGCAGTGTATGAGTGTTCCTGTCTCTCTGCATCCATGCCAACATTTATTTTTTGGGACTTTTTGGTAATAGCCATTCTCACTGGAGTTACGTGATAATCTCATCGTGGTTTTTTTTTGAATATATGATAAATTTATTTTCATCATTTCAAACTATAACCCCATCCATGCCTTTTTTTCCCCCGGCATATTAT